GGACAGTGATTCAAATCACCGAATCGAATCACTGTCCCCTGAGTTGGCCAAATCTGAAGCAAATACTAGCAGCTTTGCACAGGCCTAGCGCCCATAGATTCCAGAAATGCAGCCACATGCTTGCAGTGACTCAGGCCAGAAGCCGGGGGCCCTAGAGCATGCCTCTATTCTCTGCTGGAGCAGACAGCTTGGGCAAAACCTAGCTCATCCACTCTGAGAAAGGGTACTAGAAGGGGAGGTGCAAAGCAACATGGGATGCTGAGGGACTGTGAGTTAATTTGAATCTGTAGGGGATCTGGGGCAAAAGTTCAGTAAACTGATTTAACCTAAACAAGTTAAGTCTGATACTGCATCCATCCAGGTTTATCTTAAACCAGTTTTGGCCATTTTGAAATGGTTTGAAATGGTTTAAATGCACTGCACTTTGGTTGTGTTACAGATCTGAGCCAGTTTCTGATCACTTATACCAGTTTGTGTGTAATTTCTGTCCCTGGCCCAATAGACCAGAATACACTTTCTCTCAATGGGTCTTATACCACTTAACACCACAAATGCAAAGATATTTGGAATGTAGATTACAAAACTGTCTCCAAGGCACTGTTGCTAATATAGGCTCCTGTCTAGCAAACCACTTAGGTATATGGTTAACCAAGTATATGAGTGTTGCCACTGAGGTCTAGGGGCCTACTAGCATGCCTAAAATTAAGCACATACTTACGTGGACTTGTTACAGTGGGGCTACAAGGGGACTTTTAAATTTAAAAAAGTCTTATAAAACAAAGGAACTATGCTACTAGTTTTATTTCTAGTATAATAATTCCTAAAGGTTCCAATTTCTACCAGTGTGCCATTGTATTACGTGCCAGTACATGCACTAAGACAGCCTTTACCCTACAAGCTGGCAGCCAAAACAGAAAAGAGAAAGGAAATATTACCCCTGCCATTTTATAAATGGGGATTTGAGGCAGCTTTTAATAATTCTGTCAAGTGAAAAATACTCCAGTTATTAGGGTATTTGCCAGAATGCCAGATGTAACAAATTCTGAATACTAGCTGAATTTATTGGCAGGTATAAATTACTCTGCACAAACTATAAGTCAGGTAACAAGAGTAGAAATGAGATTTTCATGGGGGCCTTACAAGATAATGCTCCCAATTTCCTCCAATTTTACCTGGGAGCTGGGTGCTCTAATCTTTTCTGCTCCTCTGAGAATTCCCACCTAAGAAAATAATATTAAAGTACTCCAGAAAATGGTAAATCCATTGATTTTTTAATATCTTACATTTTGTCATCTTCTGATTCTTCAGTTTATAGTAGACAAATTGTGAGAGCATAATTATGTCCATGTTGACATAAAAGATGGCAGTGACAATCTGAAAGAGAACACAACACATCTTCTTTACATGTCAAACAAAAAGGCCAGAGTGTTTTTTGAAATGATTCACACGCACATTCTCTGAAGTGTACCAAACTGCTGCAAAAAAATTCAAAGCAAGCTAGATAGCTTCAGATTTATACACTTATAGTAGGACCAATTCCTGGTCCCTGGGCCTCACGCAACTTGTACTATGTAGTCTGACTTGACTTTGCAACTGTGAAGGTTTAAGAAGATACTGAGACCCTGGCACAAACTCTATCAGGGATGGTCACTAAAACTACTTTTTTGGAGGATTCTTTGTCTGCCCTATCTGCATTTCCAAGATTGATGACTTCCCAGGTTCTGAGAGAGTACAGTGTTTCTTGCATGCTTTTTCAAAGCTTAAGGAACTGAATGGGTATTGCAGACCAAAGCAGGAATTTGCTGGATGAATAGCAGGAAGAGAACATTGTTGATCCAGTTAATCTATCTGATTCTGATGGGCCTTTTTTTTTTCAATGAAGCCTTATTATTGTCTCACACATTTTTTTCAAGTTACTCAGGTATACACACACTTCAGATGTATTTCCTTTCCAAACTGACCAAGGAAAAGGAGCTAGAATTTCAGTTTAAAAAGAGGTCACTCCAAGCAACTTAATCTGTTATAGCACCAAAAGATAACTGACTTTACTTACTCCCAACCCTATTTATTAGGGAAGCTTACTTACTAAATAAACTGAAAAATTGCCACTGAACTCATTATCAAATAAAGCCAATTTAGTCTGTTTATATGACCTTATAAAAGGAGCTGGCTGGAAATACATTATCGCTTGCAGCATCTTCCCACCTGCAAAGAAAGCCACAAGATGCCATAGTGGGTAAAGACAAAAACTTCAGAATAATTTCCTTTTCTACAATCTGCTTCTTTCTGCAGTGTCTAATGCATTTAGTTATCCTACAAGTTACCTCTCAGCTTAAAAAGACACATATTTAAAATCATAAATAATAAAATACAAAAGGTGATTAAGTACCTGAATGGGAAGTTGATTTGTTAAATAGCAGCCTATGAAATTTGTAAGGTCTCCACCTATCCAACATAGCAAAAAGCCCAAAGATAGTGCTTGGTCCACTTTTCCATTTTGATAGGCAACATAAAGTTGACTAGAAAAAAAAGAAAAAGTAACACCCTGTTTAATCTAAAATAAAGATTAAGAGTAATTTCCCTTACCAAGACTCCTAGATGGACTCTCCTCCCACCCCACCTGGAAATACTAGTTTAATTTCCTGTTAACCCAGAAACAAAAATGTCAATCACTGCTTTCACATGTTGTATTTTCATGACCCGCAGTAAAACACAACTCAGCGGACAGTAGAACCAACCCATAAGTATGTTATGTACAGTGCTGCAGTTGCCAATCTTAAGCATATTGAAACTAGAAATGTCATTCAGATTTAGCATAAAATGGCTGAAGTAGTTTCTAGAATACAATCTACAAGTTTGCTCACGTCTCTAAGGGTGTATCTACATGATCACAGGTAGTGCTACGTGGAGATACCTGAACTAGCTCAGGTACTGGAATCAGGATAGCCATTTTAGAGTGGTGCTCTGTTTGAGTTAATGTGCCTTGCTAAACGCTGCTATACTTCTTCCGCTACCCAAGTATCTCTACACAGTACAGTTCTGCCATGCAGATGTGCTCCAAACTGTACGAGTATAGCTCAAGTTCACAACATACTCTATGAAGTAATCCTAAATGTGAATCTATTAGGCATGTCCTGATGAATGCAATACTTCTTAACTTGACAGTTTTAATGTACATTTTCAAATACTTCAGAAGTTCAAAGGCTTACTACTACAGGTTTTACCCTGCATGGTTTCCAGAACCCTTTAACTGATTCAGTAAATTACACTGCCTGTGTGGATAGATCTTGGAGTCAATCCCATTTACTTGACAGTTTCACATGCAGGGAATATTTCCTTTTCTACTTCTGCCATCCTCTACCTATGTGCTTGAAATGTTAACCCAGCGTAAGTGCCCTACACAGAAACCAATCTGGCACTGCAGAAGTACTGAATGATGCACTTCTTCTGACCCCATGTTCGCTAGCTGGGAAGAGCAGGATAATATCTGTGACATAACATGTGGTTTAAATAAGTACTAATCTAGTTTCCTCTATAGGTTGTGTGTGTGCATGTGTGTGACTGTGCACAGGCACACATTTTAAGAGTGGGAGAGATAAAAGGGAAGGGGTGATTTATTCTCACAGATGCTAAGTGGTAGAGATTAGCGTCACATCAGTGTAACAGAACAGTATATCAGACTCATTTGTCTACCACCAAATATTGTTCTATACATGAACAACATGCTTCTTTGCCTTATTCTATCTGTATTATGCAGATATAGAAAAGTATCCAAGATAAATTAAAAAAGGCAGCTTTTGAAAAAAGGCTTCGGGCAAGATTACCCATGTGAATCTCAAGACTTAAGACTTTAAACTTACGGTAGTGCAGCAAACAGAAAACAGACAATGGAAATGAGTCCTAGGACAACGCTCCAGTACTCCCCCGCATTCTCAACACATTCTTCCAGGAGATGCCAAATCCATGGTGTTCCATTTATACATAATCTCCTATTCTCTACTGCAGAGATATTGAAAGCATGTATATACAGCTGAGGAGCCATCGTTCTTATGCTGAGATTCAATTTCAGAAGTTTATTTTTGGCTCTGCATTTACCCCATGCAAATCCGCAAATCAGTTTACCAAGGCTGAATATCCTCTCTCAAAAGACCTCCATATCCAGACGGATGACTTTATCACAGTTATTTCCAATCTTATAAATGGACCTGCCAATTTAAAGAAATAAAATACATCCAGTGTGAATATGTCAATTAAAAAACCAAATTAAAGTTTTCAGGAATTTGGCCACAGCAAACCTTCTTAGATAACAAATTAAAAAAAAGTAAAGCTAAAAATGTAAACACTAACCCATAAAGCACTCGCTTATCTTTGCTTCTCGCTAAAAACAACTAATGGCATTATCCAGAACCAGTCAGGCAGGGATGTACTGCATAAGTTACACCACACAATTCTTAACAAATGTATAATACTTCTAGTTCACACCTCCTGTGGCATTCTGGTGCCTGGAGGTTGTTTTTCTCTAGGTTTGTTTTTTTTTTTTGTGACAAAGACTGCCACTTCTACAGAGGTGTCAAACTATAATATATTTATACTGTGAACAAATGTCTACTACTAAGCACCATGTTTTTATATCAGACCAAAGCCAAGTTTTAAATCCAGTCTGGAGTTGAAAAATTAGTCCAGTGAAATAATGAATGATCAAATACTCCTTTTAATGATACTGCACCAGACTGTGAACCCCAGCTCAACCTTTAAGTAGTTAGTTACAGCTCTATTTGACTTCAATGGGAGTAACTGCTCACCAATGTAAATAAGGCATTCACATTCTGGGTTTTTTATATTTGTAAGCGTTAAAAAAATGGAAGGATGAAGTTTTTAAAGTAAATTTCCTCATGGTGTCAAATAATTCTGAATGAGGTTTAAGTTAAACTGAGTCTGGATTCTATAGTACTCTTTCTATATTATAGACCAGTGGTATTCACCCTTTTAGAGTAGTGGGCCAGGTGTGACCCTGCTGCATTGCAGGCCTGTGGCTAGTCCTGCTGGAGTCAATAAGGTTACATCCATGCTTATAGCTAGGTGTACGCTAGGGTGTGGCTGCCACCTGAACTACAGCAACAGCTTAATGCATCTAGTGTGGATGCTGCTCTGCCAGAAGATGGGTAATTGCAGAGCTATGCCAGCTCTCCTAAATGAGAACCATAGCTAACAACAGCCACCTCTGGCTGACAGCTGTGTCCACATCAGTGGTTTTACCACTCGAGCTACACTGGTTATAAAATATAATTTTTATTTTTTCAGACCACCCTCTCCAGCCAACCTAGCTCTGCCAGCAGAACTCTGTCATATAGACAAAAGCTAAGTCTTTGCAGAATCAAGGCCTTTGTTCTTAAGCAAAAGTATGCTAGGTAGAGATGTATTTTTCACTACTGGAACTAAATACCAGTGGCATAACTAGGAATGGAAACCTGGATGAGCTCCAATTTATGGTGAATTTAAGTAGCAACCAAAGATCTGTGGTCATAGTAAATCACATATTTAAGATTTTACCTGCATTTTAATTACCTGAAAATGATTAAAATTAAATGTATCTACAAATTCAGATTAAAATGATCTGCCAATGATTTAAGATAATTAAAATACAGGATAATACAGGGGTGGGCAAAATGCGGCCCAGGGGCCAAATGTGGCCCGCCAGGCCATTCTATTCAGCCCGCAGGGCCCCTAAAAAATTTAGAAAATTAATATTAATCTGCCCTGGGCTGCCTGTCATATGGCCCTTAATGGTTTGCTGAAACTCAGTAAGTGGCCCTCTGCCCAAAATAATTGCCTGTCCCTGTACTAAATGATGCTCTTGAAACTTCAATGCTTCATGTTTACTTTAACAAAACAAAACTGCTGCTGGTAATTTTACTGAAATTTGGCATTCACATAGGCTTAGATTTGGTCAGGCAGAACTATTAAGTAGGTGAGTTGTGACTCTTCTGGTAAGAACATCAGTGTGACATCAAAGTGTAATCTGGTAATTGTTCCTTACACAGGAATGTAAGAATTGTTGTACTAGGTCAGAATTAAAGTCTCTCTGATGTAGTATCATGCCTGACATTGTCCTGTATCGAGTATTTCAGAAGAAGGTGTAAGAATCCTGTGAAAACCAGATTAGGAGTAATCTGCTCCATATAAATAAACCAGAATGAAACCTAATAGATAGTGAATCACTTCGACCCAGAAGCACAGGATTGAATATACCTGCCAAAAAGATTTATAGCTAATTATAACAATTCCATACATTCTTGATATAGAAATATTCAAACCTGTTTTGAATCTTAATAGTGGCCCAAATGCTAACCCACTGTAAAACAAAAGACCATTTTAATCAAACAGCAAAGATCTCTGTAAACTATTCCTTGAGACCTGTTGCTCACAAAGGCAAATTTTAAGTGGCTGTCTTTCTGTTCACTCTTGTGAAACTTCAGTTTCTGTGAAGATTAACAGCTCTAGGTACTGGGCATTTAGATGGGGAAAAGCCAGATTATTTATATTTTAAGTGAGGAGAGAAAAGGGAAACCCTGAGATTAATAGACACAAAACTGAGCTACTCCTGCCAGTAATAGAATGTATTCTCCAAAAGGGGCATTTGACATGGGGGAAAACACAGCTATAGTATCTAGGAGTATTATGGATGTTTCAAATATAGTGAATTTGAAGAATCATTCAAACATTGTCAGTGGCGGAAGTCCCGATACAAGGATGACAGTCTTCCAGTATGCAAGGAAGTCATTGGAGGAGGAGGAGGCCAGTGCCAAGTCACTGCTCTTTCCCTTTGTCTCTCTCTTCTATCTGCCTCCATAGGGAGGTGAGTTTGCTCGAAATGACTGGTGCCTTGTCATACAACATACTACCACTGGGGATGATTCAGTGCTTGAGTCTCCTAGGTATTGATTTTCATATTGCAGTTCTTCAGATTGGCCTTCAAGGGGTCCTTGAATCTCTTCTTTGGCCACCTTTAGAGTGGTGATCATCAGTGAATTGGGAGTACAAGAATTTATTTTGGGAGCCAGTTGTCAGGTACCTTTATGACATGATCTGTCCAGCAAAGCTGGTGTAAACACAGCTTCAGTGCTAGTGGTGAGCCAGAATGCTGGCATTCACTCTTCTGTCCTTTTGAAGATACCACTGAAGGTTATGTTAAAAAACATTCAGGTGTTTCCAATATGTCATCCAAATTTCAGACCCATTCTACAGAGTAGGGTTAACAGCCTGGCAGTCGAGAAGCTTGGTTTGGCTCCTGGTGTCATAATCACTGAAGACACAATTTTGGAGATATCCAAAGGCAGCATTAGCAAATTTAATCTGGTGTTGAGTATCATTGTCTATATTTACTTTTTGGAAAAGATGGCTACTCAGGTAGGGGAAATGCTCAACATGCTCCAAGGATTGCTTTCTAATTATACTGTGAGGAGAAATAGCTGGTTGGTTTGGGATGGGTTGGTAACGTATCTTGGTTTTCATGAAGTTGACAGTGAGTCCAATCATTTCTAAGACTTCACAGAAGCAAACAAAAGTGAGCTGGAGCTCTTCAGTTGAGTGGGCACACACAACACAATCATCAGCATACTGAAGATCAGTATAGGAGCTGTTGGCTATTTTGGACTTGGAACATAACCTGTTGATGTTAGAAAGATTCCTGTCCATACAATAATGAATGCTGACTCTAGATTGAAGTCTATCAGCAATGAGATGTGGAATAGCTGAGATATAGATGGAAAAGTGTTGGTGCAATCATACATCCTTGCTCGACTCCTGTTCTAATAGTGAAAAAGTTCATTTCTGAGCCACTGCTTAGGACAGGTGCTGTCATTAAGTTGTCTGATGATGATAAAAAAATTGGCAGGCATCCAAATCTCATCAGGATCCTCCATAGGACCTCTCTGTAGATTTGATCAAAGACCTTAGTAAGGATGATGAAGGCCATGTAAAAATTTTGGTGCTCACAGCAATTCTTCTGCCGCTGTCCAGCAAGAAAGAGCATATCTACTGTACATCTGATTCTCTGAAACTATGCTGGAAGTTTAGTAGATTCTCCTCAGTAAGGCAACTGAGTCTATTGATGAAAGAGTGAGAATCTTCTCAGGTATGGACAGAAGTGCAATACCATGATAACTGCTGCAATCTGATCTATCTCCTTTCTTGAATATGGTAATATTTCTAACATCTCTCAAGTCACTGGGAAACTGTTCGTGTTTCCAGATTTTCATAATAACTATGTGTAGCTGATTTGCAAAATTACTCAAATTATTTGAAAAATAATTTGAAAAATTATTCAATAAGCAGGAAGGAATAATGTGGAGGTGTGATAGCATTGTGCCACTCCAGTATTATAACTAGTCAAAAAGATCAGGTTGGAGTTGTTCTTACAACATACTGAGTTATTTTCAAAGTTCTTATGTAACTGTACATATATGGATGGCATAAAATACATCATAAAACTGGGACTCACTATCTAAGGGCCTCCTCCATAATTCACAAAGTCTCTGATAGCCGCACCATTCTAATGTGGTACATCTAGGACATCCCTCTGAGATCGATCCAGTTAGACTTGATGAGCACGGATTTCACAGAATCTACAAATAAACGATAAAACAAGTATGCATATTTTTGATAGCATATCTTCACTAGTTAATCTGGCTACTCAGTATATTCAGCACATACTGATCACTTTTCTGATCCTGGAAGCCATTTCTGTAAGCCATTTTTAATGAAGGGACTGGCATGTTTTCATGGACTTCAGTACAGCTTTAATACTGAATACAATGGAATGCTAAAACTGCACCTAATTTTAGGAATAAGGCCAAAGTACTACAAGTAAGGTGTATCCAGAAAATACCACTGCCTGATAAAAATGTTTTTTAATTTGTATTGACTGAGAAGTACTGATCTATGCAACATGGCACATCTATAATCTGAATCTTTAGCATCAGATTCTGCTTCTTACAATCCCTACTAAAATATGTGGAAAGGGCCAGATAATAAGCAATTTGACCACACTGATTAAAATTAAGGCTTGAACACTGAAGATGCAAGTGCTTGTACAAAGCCCCAATATAGCACCAAGGTCCATGAGGTAGTACTTCAGACTCTCTCAACTTGCCACAGGCCAAATCCACTTGAAAACCCTGCAGCTATTACAGAAAAACAAACAGTTCAAAATGTAGGGATTGTACAGGCCGCCTATACTCCCCAGATGACAGAAGTCTTGGCCTTTGGCCTCTTGCCAGACAACACATTTAAAGCATGTGGTTATTCTGGGTTTGTTATTACTTAACATTATCACGGCATTCTACATTCAGTGTTGCCAACGGCGGGGATTTTATGGTAAATCTTGCAATAATTGTTGCTTTTCTTGAAAGCCCAGATGTTGGAGAAACTCTGCACGGTGCTTTGCTATACTGAGAGTCATAGTGACAAAACTATCAGCTGTGTTGGATGCTGCAACTTGTGGGCTCTCTCTACCTGGATCTACCTGTGTTGACTCCTGGAATTCTGGGGTCTTTATATTTTCATTGTTTTTGTTTATTCCTAATTCAGTTCAGTATTTGAAATGGGAAGCAGACTTTCCTAAACAAACTGACATTTATTATGACTGTGAAATGTCGTGGGCTCAGGTCAGGTCAGGTCAGGCCAGGTCAGTCCAGTGCTGGTATGTACTAGCTAGCCCCTTTTCTTGTTACGTACACTCACTTGTGTAGATATTTTAAAACATTTTCCAACAACCTTTTTTTAAGCAGATGGCGATTCTTCCATTAACATCCTCACACTAAGCTAGGAAACAAACAAAAAAGACAAACACATGCTAAGGAGAGAGAAGCTACACTTTTTCTTTCTATTTATCTGTCTCACCAGTGTTGACAAGAGAAGAACCAAATCCAACAATTGTTAGGCTCTTCTGACAATTCTTTGTGCATATCCATGTATTTGTTAGAAGCTGAAAAAAATTCTCTAAACGTTTTACTGTTTTTTCTATTTTTTTTTAAATTAGCAAACCTATGCTAGTTACTGCTGCTCGGAAAAATTGTTCCATAATTTATATGTTTTTTTCACAAGAATGGATAATATAGAACTGTTATCATACAGAACCTCAGAAAATGCTTGTTGATAAGCTCTTAAAGGAATAAAATATTCTGGAACAACTCTTTTGAAACAGGTCCTCGTATGGAAGCTCTTATTCTACCTAACAGCATTTCTTCCAGGTTAGTTTAATCCATGCTCCTGAAATAAATGTGTCAAGAATCCTGGAATACTCTGGTATAACTCTGGGCCTTGAAATCACTCCTACATCATGCTAGGCTTGTGCAGAAAACTAAAAAGGAGGTAAGCAAGGATGCTCTTGCAGGTAAAGGAACTAATTTGGTACTTTGGGGGTCTCCCAGACTTTCTGGTATCTCCTTGGGCAAGTTATACAGCCATACTTTCATTAATGACCACTGGGTTTTGAGTGTTTTGGTGACACACATCCAGATACCTTAAAGAACAATTTAGGTATCCAAGACCCCTCTCCCATAATCTCTAATTAGAGCTGGAGAATTTGAAATGTTTTCAGTATATTCATATTTTAGGTATTTTTGACAATGAATGGAACAAAGGTGTAGGATAACATGGCTTATTTAATTTAGTTGCTGATCCTGAGCCTTCCATTCCTAGGTTCTTTTATCGTCCTATCAAACATTTTTGTTTTGACTGAATGCTTCTTGTTACCCTCAGGTAAGCATGAACAAAGCACGTTTGGAATCAAACAGGAAAACTACCAATACATTCTGGCAAACATTAGGGATGGCAGAAAACTTTGCTTGCAATCGCACTGAAAAATGCAGGATGGAGAAATACTATCACTCTTGGAAAGGTGGCACGCTGTCAGGCCCCATCACCTTCAGACTGCAGGAGGCGGAGAGCACCTGGTCAACAAGCAGCCGGGTCTGCTCACATACAGCCCAGATCCTCTTGTACCACAGCCACATCTCCAGCCAAGGAGGTACCCCGTGCTGCAGATTTCAAAGGGAGCCTGTCTATTTGTCCATCCAATTACCACGGGCAAGCGGTTACCTAGTTGCCCCTTTTTATGGGGGCTAATGGACGAGTGAGACAACTCATGAAAAAAACAGGACAGGAGTGTCGTGTGGGTCTAAGGCTCAAAACATGAAAATGAGCGTGCGGGGGGGGGACGAGACACTGAGCAGAGCCCCGCACCGGTCCTCAAAGACATCCAAGGAGTCGGTGGACGCCCCCCGCATCAAAGGGCGCCCGTGGGCGGTGGCACAGCGCAGCATGGCCGCCGATCTCAACTAGAAACGGTCAAGAGAGAGCCATCTTCTCAGCACCCGCCCACACGCCGGGTAACCGACACTCCCCTGCCCGAGGCGCTTGGCGCCGCAAACCCACATCCTGCCCCAGGCCTCTGGCAGACGTTACTGCAGCACAAGGGACGTTTTACCTCAGGGGCGCTCAACCTTCCTCTTCGGCGGGCCAGGAGGGCCTTGCCTAGTCTGTCCCCGCGCCGGATGAGGCCAGTGGGGCGGTGTCAGGGATCCCGCACTGACCTAGCTGTGCCGGGCGGGGGGAGGCCGGTGGGATCGGGCAGGGGGAGCGGGTAGGGGCAGAGGCCCCGCGCCCCACGTCCAGCCCCAGCGAAACTGGAGCCGCCGGG